CTAATATCGCGTCATGTGTTCTAAAATTATAATTTATGAGGAAAAATATATTCATGTTGCAATATGAGTTGTTAGGACCATTTATTCCCAAACCACATAAATTTTATGAACTTCGATAACATAAGTAGTCTGGAACCACATTATATGCAACCTGAGTAGTTGGGATTACCTGTTCTCCACCACATAAATATTCTATGTACTTTCACAGAGAGAGTAGTTGAAACCACTGTCTCTGAATACATAAATTCTATGTACTTACATAAAACATAAAACATTGATTACCCACATTAATTAGGTGCTTTTACATATATATGTTTACTAAATGAAGTAGAAACTCCTCCTATATATCTTTATTATTTAACCAGAAACTCCTCTTATCTTTACTATTTAACAAGGATTCATCATCGATTTTAAATTCATTAGAAAATCTCAAATTGGGTAACCATCAACTAAGTCATGGCAAAGCAAATTTACGTCTCAATTTTGTTGATCCTTCTCGTTCTTGTCCGTAAGTCTCTTTCTGGGTGTGTGTGGGTTATGTATTATGATATAAATATATCAACATATAGCCAAATATTAACATCGTGGATCACTAATATTTGCTTTTGATATGATTTGCTATTGCAGAAGAAAGAAGGGTTGATGTTGCCACAGCAAAATGCGTACCCAAAAGTGAAAAATTCACAGGCCCATGCACCTCTGACCTAATCTGTGGTCCAATTTGCCACAGTTATGGTTTTGACTACGGAAAATGCCTAAGGTCGAGCCTTCAATGCATTTGCTATAAACAATGCGAGAGTGGTGTTGACGTGGATGGACAAGAGAGACAGGTTAAGATCAATCAATCATCCATGGATCCATAAAAAAAACATGGAGAGATCTGTATATGCTTAAACTATAATTGAATCAATAAAGTTTTATTTACATCTCTTATTTTATATGATTTACGCATTGAGATTACATGATCAATGATGTTCACAAGCATATTTATGAGTATTTAATGTTTATATTATTAACAAGAAAACTCCTGTTCTTGTCCATCGTATAATTTTTGGTTACACACGTTTGAATTTGTTTAGTTTTTGACTTTATAAAATGTCATTTATCTTAACAAATTTTCACTATATTTTCCACTTATATTTAACTATAAAGTCAGTAATGTTTTGCGAAGTAACGTACTAAAATGAAACTTTTATATATAAAAGATAAAAGTAATTAAAAATTATAATTTCAAATATTAAAATAAAGGTTTTATAAAATTAAAATTAGACACTAACTACCAACGGTTATAATTTTAGACATTAAAGTGAGAGAGATCAAATAAACTATTTTAATATCAATTAAAAAAGTTAAGAAATAAGTAAACACTACAATGACATGCTAACTCGTCCCAATTAATCAACGATAATTAATAAGGATAAAGTATGAGGTTAGCTTCACCTTTAATTTGATTATCTGAAATTAAGATATTACAACTTGATTTAATATAGTTTATTCATTTGTTATAAATTTTAGGCTAACCGATAAAAGTAACTGATAACTTTAGTTAATAAACTTGTACAACAGTTAGATAAATAAAAAGATAAAATGAGCTTATAATTTTTAAAATTTAAATCATTATATAAAAAATGTTTAATTTTAAAAGATAATTATTAATATTTTTATTTTTTAAAAATACGTTATCATTCACATAATTAAAAATTTACATACATACATTAATTTTATTGTTTTTTTTCTCTTTACTTTTGTCATGATTTCATTTCCCCCCCTTTTTTGGTTTCTTTGTTTCTTTTCTTTAAGTTTATTTTATATGAAAAAATATAACTTAAAATATTTTATGTTTAAAATATATATAAAAAATTTTATTTTTCTATTTAATTATTTAATTAATTGATAATAAATAAATAAAGTAAATTATATCTAATTTTAATATTGTATTAATATAATATTACATATTCTTTTGAGTTGGGTACATAAATCAATTAAAGGCGTGACTAATTTGTCAAACAATTATAAATTCATAAACCTATAACTACAAACTTTTAATTATAAATCTATAATTTTCAATTATTTTCACGGCTAAAAGTTACAAATTCAATTTTTGACTTATTTTACTAAAGAAAATCTTAATAATTAATTATAAATGGAGTTGATAAAATTAAGTATTCAACTAATATCAAATCATTTTGCTTGGTTCGGTCCAGTTAAAAATAATTTTTTATTTGAGTTTTTGAAAAAGGATCATGCTCAATTGAAATTTACTTTTATGCTTAACTATATTGAGTAAACCTAAACTCAATCGAGAAAAAGTCGGATGGATCAATCCAAAAAAGTCCAAAGTTAATTTAGACTTAAAATTTTAAACAATAATTAGTATCAAACTTTAAAATTAAAATTAAACAATTAATTAATACTAGTAAGATTTTATTAAAAATATTTATTATTATTTTTATAACTTTGATATAATAAATTTATTCTTTTTTAATAAAAATTTATTAGTTTTGAATATTTAAACTCAATTCTAACCGTTGAAGTTAACAAAATTCAAAATTTAAAACTTAAATCTTATAATTTATCAATTTAAAATGAATTCACCTAGCTAGTTGCACCTTTTCATCTTGCTTGCTCTAATTTTAACAACACTGAAATTAAGGTTTTACTAAATAAATATTTCTAAAAACACAAATTATCCTGTTATCAAATCTGACTTTTACATGACACATATTTTGGTAAAATTGATTGAAATCATTGAATTAATATTGGGTAAAGTGACTAGGGAAGAGTCTCCATACTCAATTAGCCACATGCAAAGAATTTTTTTTCCTCCATATATCATTACTTTTTTTACTAGAAAGGTAGAAGTGTATAATATGACACATGTTTAATGTAATATATCTTATTTAAAGATAAAAATTAATAATAAGATATTTTTGTCCTAATTTTTTTTTATTTAAAATTTAACATTAACATGATTGAAATAGATGAAAAGAAAAATTAAAATATATTATGTTAAATTAGAGTACAAAATTTAGCCTTACATTGCTTCCAAGGTTGGCATAAAGAGTAAAAAAACTCCATCCCTATATTATGGATCAAATATCTAGCATTTCTATATCTAACACTCTTGAGGACGTTGATAATTCGCTTATCATTACATCTGAATAAATTTTTCATAAATGACTCTCATGACAATATGCTGTTCAAGACTAAATTTCTTGTGTCTTACATAAAGTTTCCATCTTTATATTGAAGTTTCAATTGTTTTGCTCTAATAAGAGGGAGATTTTTATTTGGCTTTCGATGTTTCGTGATGCTAGCAAAACATGTAGCTTCTCTTAAATGACGTAAAAAACCTACTAAATTTGTAGAATAAATATTTTCTTCATTATTATTACACATAATACACATTGAAGAAGTGATTAAATTTATGTTATGTCTTACATGGTTTGTCTGCAAGGCTTCAAGAAATATAAGCCATAGGAAAAATTTAGTCGTATCAAGAATTTTGAAATCAGGAATCGTATACCATCATTAATTCTTAACTGATTCCTATTATATGTGCAATGGAATACTAAAAACTAGTCATTTTAATGTGTTCAAATACGATATGTAATTTTGTCGTATTTGATATTGTGTGAATATTTATTTCATGTTTGTAGAATCACCATATTTTACTTTCATAAAATACGGTCATAATAAAATAAAAAAAGTTTGCACAAAAATTTTCTTATGCGCACAAAATTAATTAACTTAAGGTTTAAAATATATTTTAATTTCTATACTTAACTCACTAGATTGATTTTTATATATAAAATATTTGTATATCAATTCCTATACCAATATCTATTTTTAATTTAATCTCTGTTGTTACTTATAAACTAAATTATATTTGATTTTTTCCTATATAGCACTAACATATCTAACGTGAGTATTTATGTACAATTTTTTAAAGGATCATTCATCCGTCTTCAACTCTAATTAGCTATTTACATTGCTCCTTCGTTATTATATATAGCTTAAACATAACTTTATAAACTAAACTAAAAATAAATGTACGTATAAAGATTAATATATAAATGTTTTATATATAAGTACTGACTTATAAATAGAAATTAAAGATAAGAAGAAAAATACTATTTAAATTTATCTTAAATATTCTTTTAAGTTTTGCAAATGTACTTTAAAATGAAGTATTTGAACTCACAAATTGCTAGTATATACGGTACAATTTTCAATTTAATGGTGTGTATTGTATCTTAATGAAATGTTCAAGAATTCTACACAAACAATGAGTTTCAATTTGAAAGCATATCTATACAACCACATTAATATGTATGTTCAAGAGAGGAAAAATATCAGGCACGCATCTTTACAAACATATTCTATACAAGCTTCCCAAGACATGGTCCTAACAGTCTTAAACATTTATGAATTGGACCCTTGTGTTCCCAACGATTCTAACATGTTCATGATCAAATATGCTTATGCTTGATAAGTCAATTTCCACAAGTATGCAAGTCACGGTTACTGCAACAATTTTTTTTTTAGGTAATTTTTTTTAGATATAATTATAAAAAAGTATTTTAAAATTTAATTATAACTAATTTATTTAAAAAATACTTAAATAGATTTTTGAAATAAATAACAACTTTTTTCCCTAATTCTATTTTTTTAAAATTTAGACAAAAACACAAACTTTTCAGAAGTACTTTCTTTTCAAAGTGAAGGTAATTTATTTTATATAAAAAATTAAAATAAACGAGTTTTTTTTTTTTTTTTAAGTTTTGTCGAGTCATATCATAAGTGGGCCACACTTAGTGTAAATTTGGATTTGTGTTTATCCAGAAAATTCTGCATATCTGGTTTAGTATTAATTATTCTTTCTAGAAGATTTGCAAATGTAAGCAACAAAGATTTGGGTTTCAAACTATAACTATAAAATCCAAGTAGCTGGAGACAACAAACTTCAACATGAAGTGTTGTTTTTCCCTCTGTAGCCAATGGCTCTTTCTTCAGTCCCACTTGGCTTCACTAAAATGCTTCTTCCTCTACAAAGCAAGTCATATCCAACTCCTCAATGCAAGCCATTATCAAATAAACTTTCTAATAACAGTCAAAGAAATCTTCGTCGATCTGCCAATTTCAAACCTTCAATTTGGACTTACGATTATATTCAATCCCTAAGCAGTGAATATAAGGTATATTTCAATCCTTCATGTATATTTCATATTTGTGATCATATATATATATATACATACCACCTCGCTATTCAACACTTTAACCAAAAATAAGTTTTGAAGCAAAGAGATGGGTTTGAAACATAGATATGAAAAATAGTTAAATTGATGCAGGAAGAAAAGTACATAGAGCAAGGGAGAATGCTAAGGGAAGAAGTAAGGACGATGCTTGGAAGACTGGAAAATCCACTTGATCAACTTGAGCTTATTGATGTATTGCAAAGGCTTGGAATTGATTATCATTTTGGCAATGAAATAAAAAATATATTGGACAATGTTTACCATTCGGATGCATTCAGGAGAGAGAAAAATTTATATGCCACAGCACTTGAGTTCAGACTCTTAAGGCAACATGGTTATGATATCTCTACAGGTTTTGAAAGATTGAAATTGTAATTATTATTATTGGTTGAGATTGTCCAATATATACTAATATTTTCTAATGTGTGTGTGTATCATTGTTGTTTGCAGATGTGTTTGTTTGCTTTCAAGATGAAGTGGGTAATTTCAAGAAGAACCTATCTGTTGATGTTGAGGGAATGCTATCACTTTATGAAGCCTCATTTCATTTAATGGAAGAGGAAAGTATATTGGATGAGGCAAGAGATTTCACCTCACAATTTCTCAAAGAACATTTGAATCAGAATAGAGGTGACCACATTTCACTTCTAATCAGTCATGCTTTGGAGTTTCCATTACATTGGAGAATTCCTAGATGGGAAGCTCAGTGGTTCATCAATGTATATGAAGGAAAGCCAAACATGAGTCCTGTTTTACTTCTTTTAGCTAAATTGGATTTCAACTTTCTACAAGCTATCTACCACAATGAATTGAAGTATACATCAAGGTGATGCTACTCGTTATGCTAAAACAATTTTTATCTTTTTTATTTTATTTTTTAAAACTGATTCTTATTCTAATTTATAACCATGTTATATCAATAACTATTTTAAGATGATAAACGACGTAACATATCTAAATATATGTCACGTCTTCAATAAATGATGCTAACAATTACTCTTCCCGATTTTTTTTATAAGAAACAAAATATAGATTCAAGATGTATTAATTGTTAAATTTCTTTTATACTCTTTTTTTATTAGTATTATTAAATATACAAATTACTAACTACATAATTTAATATCATGGGTATTTTTAGAATAAAATTTATGTTTATGAAAAATATAACATACTTATTTATTTTCTTTAGTTTTGATGATTTAGTCTTTTGTTTTTTATAAAAAGGATCGAAGAGAGTATTTTTAAAAATATTAAAATTTATGAAGACAAAAATCAAGAAAATTTTCTTGAATAAATAAAAATTATGTTCAATCATTTATAAAATTTTAAAGCATATGTTATATATATATATATATATATATATATATATATATATATATTCTATTACGTTTTTCTACACGTGTTGTATAACTTGTACAATCCAGAACTTAAAAAGTATTACAAAATTTGAATAGTTGTCAAGTGGAAACATATTTGGTAGATTGTGCCTTTCATGAGATAGTTATGCAAGATCCATCTCAAAATATAAAAATATTATTTTGTTTGTTTTAGCCAGTTTATATTTTATTTATTTTATACTAGGAATCAATTTTCTACAACATGCACACGATCTAATACCAAATTTATGATTGATACTAATTTTACAATATATTAATTATATTTAATAATTTAAAATTGATTATATCCCATCAATTTAAAAGAATCAGACACCGAGTCTTCAAGGGAGTTTTCAGCACGTTTTAGAAAAAGAGACAGTTAGGAACAATGTGACAGATTTTATGAAATTAAATTTTAAAATCAATTTTAAACTGGTCTTGAATCAAATTTAATTAGAAAATTTTGCATTAATTTCAGTTTTTATATATGGATTTATGTAATATTTTTCTTTATTTTAGTATTTTATAGTTTTAAGTGTTGTTAAGAGACATTTAATAACTTGACAGTCTAGCAAAAGATACTGTGGTCTAGAAAAATAAAATCATTTAAAACTTGGCATTATCGTGGAAACAGGTTCAACTCTCTGCTATTTCACTTTTTCTTCTCTTATTAATGTAACAAATAACAATTATAGTTGTTATGATTAACTAAATATAGTACTTATTGGTGCTCTAATTTTGTCATTATGTAAGAAGATGGTGGAATGAAACTGGCTTCACAGACAAGCTGAGTTTTAGTAGGGATAGATTGATAGAAAACTTCATTTGGACGGTGGGAACAAATTTTAAGCCAGATTTTGGATATTTTAGAAGAGCTATGACAAAGGTCAATGCCCTAGTAACCACAATTGATGATGTTTATGATGTGTACGGTACCCTGGATGAACTAGAGCTCTTCACAGCAGCAGTAGACAGGTTAGAGTTATTATAGCTCTATAATGAAAACAATGTTTTTCGAGAAATAATCTTTGTTTTTCAAAATTTCTTTACTAATTATCAGTATTTTGTTTGTGATTTCTAGATGGGATTTAAATGCAATGGATGGTCTCCCTGACTACATGAAAACATGCTTCCATACCCTCTATAAATTTGTCGATGAAATGGCTTTAGAAACTCTAAAAAAGAATGGGCACTACATTACTCCTTACCTAAAGAAAGTGGTTGGTAGTTATTTGTTTTATTATCCATCTTAACTCTTTGGTATAAATTTCTATGCACATAATATTGATCTTATAATTAATCAAGATATTGTTAACTCATTTTAATTTTAAAACTTTCAGTGGACAGATATATGTAAAGCATATCTAATTGAGGCAAAGTGGTACTGTAATGGAAATACACCAAGCCTCCGAGAATACCTAGAGAATGCATGGGTTTCTATCAGTGCACCAGTTATACTTGTCCATGCTTATTTTTTGATTCCACATCCAATCAAGAAGAAAGACTTTGTTTATTTAGAGGAATACTCTGACATAATTCAGTTTTCAGCAATGATTTTACGCCTTGCTAATGACCTTGGAACATACAAAGTAACCTCATTTCTATTCTTTACAAAACTCTTACTTTTTTTTTTATGCTTTTCTTTTCACTAATATTTTTCCTCATTTATTATTTTAGCGTGAAAATGAGTCAGGCGATGTTCCTAAGTCAATTCAATGCTACATGAACGAAACTGGAGCCACTGAAGGAGAGGCTTGTGAGTATGTAAAATCCATGTTGTCTACGATGTGGAAGAAGATGAATAAAGAGGCTCATAATTCTTCTTTCTCTCAAAGTTTCATAGATACAGCTATAAACTTGGCAAGAATGGCATTGTGCATGTACCAGCATGGAGATGGCCATTCTATTCAAGATATTGTTGAAATCAGGAATCACATTCTATCATTAATTGTTCAACCGATTCCTATTATATGGGCAATGAAATAGTAAAAACTAGTAATTTTACTGTGTTTAAATACGATATAGAGTATATGTAATTTGGGTATTTGATATAATGTGTAAATATTTATTTCATATTTGTAAAACCACCTTATTTTACTTTCATAAAATATGGTCCTGATAAAATAAAAAAGGTTTGCATGGAAGTTTTCTTATACTTACAAAATTAATTAACTTAAATATCCTTTTAAGTTTTACAAATTTAGTTTAATAGAGGTATTTGAACTCACAGATCGCTAGCATATACGGTGCAATTTTTAATTTAATGGTGGGTATTGTATCTTAGTGAAATGTTAAAGAATTCTACGAAAACAAGGATTTTCAATTTGAAAGCATATCTATACAACCACATCAATATGTCTCTTCTAGAGAGGAAAACTATCAGCCACATCTTTACAAACATATTCTATATAAGCCTCCCAAGACATGGTCCCTCCTAACATATGCTTAAAACATTTATGAATTAATTGGACCCTTGTGTTCCCAACGATTCTAACATACATAGACGATAAATTTTTAATTCCTTACAGTATTTTAATGGTTATAAAATTATTTCTAAAACATAAAATGAGTAACAATTTTTAAAATGTGAATATTTTCATTAACATGTGTAAAATCTTTTTTAAAATATATAATAGGTAATGATTTTTTAACTATGAACAATTTCCTTATCCATAGTTGTAAAATTGTACCTTAAACTTGGCATAGACAATGGTTTATTTAATCATTAATAATTTTTTATTAACATTTATGAAATTATTCATAAAATATGTAATAGATAACAAGTTTTTAAAATTAAATAAAAAATTTATTATTAAATTAATTACAATCTCAAAGACATGATCCTATTTGGCTGGAAAATAATTTTAAATATTTTATTATTTAAAATTAATATTTATAAATAAATCTCAAAATACATTTTAAATATTTAAAAAAAACTTTAGAACATTACACTTCCTCTGTGTGTTTTTTGTTAATTTCTAGGGTTTTTCTTTTCCCAATCTAAACAAAATTTGAGCGTCTTAGGGTTTCCTTCAAGGTGTCAAAGACTGGCCCTATGTTTAGCCTTAAATTCCTTCCCCTTCCACTATAAACTTCCTATGATGGAGCATATGAAAATTCCAAGTCCATATGACAAGAGTTCTAAGTAAGCGCGGTTCGTGAGTGTACGCATGAGAAGATTGTTTGAAATGGAGGGTGAAGCAAGGAGAACGAAGAGTTAAGGAGTGAAAAGAGAGGATTGGGGTAAGTTTTGGATTTGGGAAGAGAATTGGGAGAGAGAGGAGAGAGAAGAGGTGATAGAGAAGGCACGCATGAGGCCGGAAAGGGGTGCGAGGCTAAGCGGAGAACCAACCAATGAGGAAGGAGTCATGGCTACGAAGAGTGAGAAGACGGTGCTGCAGGAGTTGTAGAAGGAGGGGGAGCAAAGGTAGTCTGTGATGGTGGCGAGGAGGAGGATGGTGATGGTGGCATTGCCAGTAGTGTCTCGGAGAGAGTAAAGGTTGGTTATGGAGCATGAGCTCAATGGTGGTTTTTATATGAATTCATCTTCTGGGCTTAATTCTAATACTTTCCTGAAACCTAGTTCAGTTTCTTCAAATTCTGGTTCAGTTCTGTCTCATGCTGGAAATGAGACTATTGCTCAACTTTCAACAAATCAAACTAAGAAATTAGCTACTACAATGGGTCCAATAATGGCTTTTACAGTTTATGGGACTTTGCCAAGTTTTAGGGATGTTCCTAGCTCAAAAAGGAATCTCTTTATTAGAAAGTTAAATTTGTGTTGCGTTGTGTTTGATTTTAATGATTCTGCCAAGCATCTCAAAGAGAAGGATATTAAGTGACAGACATTGCTTAAGCTTGTTGACTATGTTTTATTTGTAAATTTGAAGTTCAACAAGGTAACAGTGAAGGAGATAATGTGGTGGAGTACTTTGATCTACATATAAAAAAAATTACGGGTTTGATTACCAAAAATGGGATTTTTCTATGCATTTAAGCTTACTAGTATGACGATGACTAAGTTGTATAAGAAGTTGAAGAACAATGTGGCATGGGAGAGAAATTGGATAAGTTTTTGTCACATTTTAACAATCTTATCTATCAAGTGTATTAGGTAGTTGTAACAAGTAATAAAATTTATAATTTTGAGTTTCAAGTATCGTTTGCAGGGATTAATTTATTTGATTACCAATTCATAAAATTAAAAACTATTTGAGCTAATTGAAATTTGAAAAGTTTTGAACCCTTGAAAATTAAAGCAATAAAGTACAAAAAATAGAAGAAAATAGCAAATGAAGTGAAGATGTGAGAGATCAGATGATTAATTCAATGAAATTAGGGTTGATTTCACTAATTTGTCAATTGCAAAACTAAACGTAATATGAATTTCTAAGTTCCTTAATTGATTGATGATCAATTTTACTAGGTTAATCAAAGTTTAATTCTTTAACTTAATAATTCTTATTCAATTATCTACCCTAATTTTTTAAGTGTAAATCAATTAAATATTGTATTAAGCATTAGAAATTAAGAGATTATAAGATCATGAATGCTTATACTTAAGATATCAATAATCTTGACATTCAATTTAGATATGAGAAATTCACTTAACTTCCATTGATTAAAATTCTCTAGGTTCAATTCAATTGAATAACTAATCCAAGAATTACATTAAGTAAATAATTAAATGTTCAATGCAATCAAGATCTTAGAATCTAGATCCACAATTAATTTACAATATCCAAATCGAATCCATTAATCTCTAACTAAAGAAGAATATAACATGATTTTAAAAGACAGAAAGAAAGAGTAGAAGAGAAGGTGTAAAAAATTTTCATGAATCTAAGTCCCAAGCGTGATTCCTCTAGATTTGAGCCTTGAAATTCGCCTTCAATCCTCTCTCTTTCTAGCTTTCTAAGAGTGTGAAAAAGAAAAAAGAAAGAGAAAATATCTTAAAAATCTAAGTTTCTAACAATTTATAATTTTCTCGTATTTCTGCTTGGCCACTTTTTGTCCTAAAAGTAGCTATGTGCAACATGTACAATATTGAAGTGGACACTTTTTAACACAAAAGTAACTACGCGCAAAGGACTCTACACAACACATCTTATGGAGTGACTACTTTTGGTCCTAAAAGTAGTTACGTGCAACACAATTTCTCATATAAGCTTATACATAGCCATTTTTGTCTAAGAAGTGTTTTCATGCAAGGTGATTATGCAATATAGCTTCTGTAGCTGCCACTCTTGATCTTAAAAATAGTTACGCGTACTAGGAATTCTCTTCCCAGCCTCTAAAGTGACTACTTTTTACACAAAAATTGTTTAAGCTTAACATACTTCACTTTTTAACTCTTTGAAATGCTTACCTTTTGCATTAAAAGTGGTTATGTCCATTCTTCAATTCAATTCTAGACTTTTAAAGTGTTCAATTTTTGCACCCAAAGTAATTACACTATACCCTTTTTGACCTCTTAAAGCTTCATATTCAGGTGTTTCTCTTGGAATTTTCTGCAAAACTAATTCAATCAATCAACATTTATATAAAAATTATCTAATCCAAATAAATTGAGTTATAAAACTAAAATTTACATTATTTGAATAATTATACATTTTTGTAAGATTTTTATCTTCTCAGCTATATTTTTCCTATTAAAAAATCATACAAAAATAACTAAAAATTCATCAAAATATGAATTTATTAGTTTTCATAGACTTGTTTCCTTAAAAAAATTTAATGTCAATTTTTAGTTAAGCAGTGCTATATTTTCAAGATTGTCACATTGGAGTAATGAATTACATCTTTGTGAGTCAACTCATTACTTAACAAAATAAAGTTTGACGTAAGATTTAAATCTTAATAATTTTAAAAAATCTAAATCCTAATAATTTATTATAAAATATGCTATATGTTTAAGAAAAAAAATATATAATTAAGCTTATTAAATACGATAAATTAATGAATTTTTTTATATATGATAAATATTAAAAAATAAAACACACAAAATTTATATAATTTTTTGATTTGTGTAATAATTAGTAAAAAATATTGCTCATTTATTTATGATAATATATATATATATATATATACTATAATATTTTTATAAGATTTAAAAACAACTATATAATGATCATATAAATATATATTATAAACGACATGAAAAGATAATTCTCATAAGTTCTAAGAAAAGTTGTAATAATAATAATAATAATAATAATAATAATAATAATAAATAATGTATAAATATAATTATTATTAAATACAATGTAAAATATAATAATATAATAATTATAATTTAAAAATAACCAAAGCTTGGTAGTTTGCTTGGTAGTTTGCTAATAAATAAAGCAATACAAATTATACATCAGTGATATATGTATTTAGAGGACTTATACAACATCCGAAAAGAATGTAAATCATATGTTAGCAGGGTAAAGCGTTTATAACAGTAAAGAAAAAAATAAATTTATTTGATTTCAAAATCAATTTTGTTTGTTAAAAGAGAACAAAAGTAATTTTATATTTTTATTTTTGATACAATTCACATTACACAAAATTTGAGATAATATGCTTACATCTTACGACACATATAACTTGAAATATTAAACATTAATGTCATAAAATAGTTTCCTAAATATTATTTTTATTATTTTTCTTTTTCAAAGAGATAGAATGTGAAATACGAAGAGTAAATGAAGCAAAACTAAAAACCTATGACGCTATTTGTCGAAACAAAGGAGCAAGTGACATCGATATCAATGATAAATAATGAGTGTTTAAATACTTTTGTGTAATTCCTGCTACCTTTCATAGGTAGCTTTATTATAATTTGAAAGACGACAGAATTTTATATAAATATTTAATATTTAATAAGAAGGTATTTTAAATTTATAATTTAAATTTATTTAAGAAAAAAGATTTTAAACTTACCCCTTTAACACAATTATTTTACCAAATGTAATAAACCTAGTTTTTATACCTATGCT